AATTCATTATACACTTGTTTATTGTTAATTAATATTTTTACCTCTTTATATTTTTTTCGGTTATTCATTATTTATTGTTTTATTCAGTAATTTGTGTACCCGTTCTTGATGCCATTCTATAAAATTCTATCATTTCTAATTTTAGGAATTAGCCCTGGCTGTAATATTAGGACAAATTTAGAGATTTAACATACAAATGATAAAGAATAGATCTTCAGTAAAATAAGCAAATGAAAATAACTTTGTAAAGATGCAATAAAATATCAAATCGATTCATAAATTCTGTACATGTATGAAAAAAGTAATGAAATCAAGAGTAATGAAAAAAGACCTACCTCTAGAGGCTTTTATCAATCTGGTAATTCCATAAATTGATAAAATTAATAAATTTATATAAGTGTAGAAAATGTAGCACAATTTAGTGTGGATATTTCTTATTGTTTAGACTGATTTTATAAATTGCAGTTCAGAAAATCATATGAATGAATGGAAGGAAATAGAAATTTTTCACAGGCACAGTCACTAGTCATAAAAATGCCAATACACAAGGGAAACAAAAGATTTTTCTCTCCCTTCAAACAGAATGGGCCCTGTAAAAAGTGAAAAAGATTGATTCTAATTATAAATTTTGAGCCCTTTGAATGCAGAAAAATTTCTATCTTCTAATTCCAGTTTTCCTGAAATTTTATCAAATATATTTAACATTAGTCCTATGAATTATTTGAGTTGAATGTTCTCTTTTTTCTCTTCAGACTGAAAATAAACATTTTCTTAAATTTCTACCTTTTTTTAATCGAACGGTGGGCACTTGCCTTTTCAGCATTGGCCACTCCTAAGGCCAGAAGTGGTGGCCATTTTATTGTGGAGGCACCTAATAGGCGTACATCCTTACCTCTGATGAGGTGACAAACAATTTACATCCATGCCTTTTCCGGGATTCGAACCTGGCATTTAGAGTAGAGAGAAGGGTACCCCTTGTATAATTGCGAAGTTATTGTTTCATTTATGGTAGCCTGAGTAGTTGAATGTTATGGAAACCCTATAATGATGTAATCAGTTGTATGATTGCGGTAAATTTGTAAGGGCTTCTGGTGTGTGTTGGTTAGGAAGTATATCGCTTGTTTTGTGGTTTAGATGGTAAAATGGCATGGCTGAATGTGATAAGATTAATTTGAAGTTTCTGAACAATTTGGAAAGAAAGGGTAAAAGAGCATTACTTGACTGGTGTGTAAATGAAGATTTACTTAGTAGCCATTATAAAGTGTCCTGTTTGTAAAAAGGAAATGCGCATGGTCTGGCGATAATGGCATTACGGGGGATATTTTTTACTCTTATTTTGTGAATTTATGTGGCGACAACAGTATACAGATTCTAGTTCAAATAATTTTAGGAAGTTTTTGGATGCTGTTAAGGAATTTTGTTTGACTGAAGACATGTTAATTTGTAAATAAGGCCAATGGATATTTCCTTTGTGTAATACAAAGATGAAGTTCCTTTTTTATGTTATTTCATTGTTTGATTTAAAATGTAGTTTATTGAGATTATGTATTTTTTTGTTGTCCACTCCTTTGACTTTTTAAATGAATATAGTTTGATGTGTATAAAGTGAAGTGAGTGGGCAATGCCTAGTTTGTGCAATTCTCTGATGTTTTTGAAATGAAAATAGGTCGATGGGTACATGGATACCAAGTTTGTGCAATTCTTTGTCTTGGTATTTTGGCTTTGTGTAGTGGCGATTTTTGGGCCAAAAATTGCCGCTACACAAAGCCAAAATAACACGTCAAAGAATTGCACAAACTCGGTATCCATGTACCGCCAAAATGTACCCATAAATATATTTTTACCAACCTGGGCCCTTTGGTATCACAGTCACCCCTTAACCCCTTAACCTCTATACCGTCTGGGTGGCTGATAAATGAAACTGAATCTTTCTAGATTTTAATTATTAAAGTATAAAATTAAAATGTTTAAAATGGTAAAAGTTATTAAATTAATGTAATTTTAATATTAAAAATGGAACTTTTATAATACCAGATTAAAAAGTGGAGTAATGGATTTTTAGTAGAGGACAAAATTTTATCATTTCTTTTTGGTCAGTTGGATTTATTTATCTTGCTATTTATCCTTAGCATGTAATTTTTAATAAGTATTGGTGAAATTGTAATTAATTAAGCTTCTGTAATGTAAGCTTTTTGTTATTGTTGATGTTGTTATGAATTAAAAATATTTTTTATGCTCTTAGACAAATTTTAAGTCTTTTTGTTTTGGATACTGTCAAACTCATTTAAGACACTTTTTTTCTTGTTTACCATATCAAATTTAAATCTGAAAAGCTAAAGCTTGCTTCAGAAAAATGCTGAGGTTAATAATTCATTAAATATAAGGCTTCAAGTATTTCACATCAGACTGGTTTAATTTATAATTTATTGAAACTCATTTAATTTGTGAACTGCAGTTCTAACAAAACAAAACAACAACAACAACAAAAAAAAAAAAAAAAACCGCATGATGTACAGAATTAAAAAAAAAAAAAAAGTTTTATTGTTCTTTACAATTTATGTAGTACTTTCTTCTGTATTCTCATAACATTAGAACATATGGATGTTGCACATGAATTGTCCACTTAATTGATTCATCTTTTACTTGACAATGTCATAGAACTCTGAACTTCTAAGACTTTCTTGTATCTAGTCTTAGATTTGGAGTATAAGATGCTGGGCAAACCATAGCTGTATGTATTTTACACGATTATTCCTCATGAATTTTGGCAGAGATTGGTTTTCTTTTTCCCTTAAGTGTTATGGCAATGAAGAATCTAGGAATTTGTTTAGAATTTCATAAAATGCACAATATTTTTTTTTTTTTTTTTTTTTTTTTTTTTTTTTTTGTGTGTGTGTGTGTTAGGTTTAGGTTGGAAGTTGTTTTATTAGCATCTCGAACCACTAAAGGTATTCATGCCACTTATATCAGAATTATAAATTATTAATATCCAATTTATATCTTTTGTGTATGCATATTATTAACAGCAACTAAATAAAACAGTTCATCATTAAATATAAATTCCAAAATTATAAATTATGCAGCAGCTGAATTTTCTTCACTTTTTTGTAATATGGTGCATCATTCTAATAGAATATGTTAAAATTCATTAGTAATACTTTTTTTCAATGCAGTCTGTTAGCAAGTTGAAAAAAGTGGAGAATGTTATAGTAGAAGTAGCTTCAGAAAGAATATTATTTAGTTTATTTTAATTTAGTTTATTTAGTTTATTTTAATATGTTTAAAATTTAATCCCTCCCTTATCTGTTGAAACTTAACTGTAAATTAGAATATTGTGAAAAGAAAGAGAAATGTTTGAAATAGTCTAAAACTCAGAAAACATTGTTATCAAAGTGTCAGTCCTATAAATAGAAATTCTGGAGTTCAGGCAAAATTGTTGTTATAATCCTTTGTCCTCTCCCCCCTTTTTTTTAATGAATTTGTAAGTGATCAGTGATGATTACTGTTTGATGAAGATTTTATGCTTATATGAAAATTCAAGCAGTGTTTAATCAATTAATATTTTTATTTTATTTTACTTTAATGCATTTTTTATTTTAATTGTGAAGTCTATGCATAGAAATATCAGGTATATTAATTATTTGCAAAATTTTTGTTTGTTGTGTGACATTTGTTTGGAATATGACTGGAGTTTGACGAGTCATGACTGCACACACTACATTTGGTTACCTCTTCCGAGAGTATGCTACATCTGCCCCCGTGAGGTCAGTAAGGATTGGGATGACAACTGCTTGCTCTATATTTTGAAGAACCATTCTTCAAGGTGTACTTGACTTCATCTCTCGACATTTTGGAAAGCTGGATATCTGTAAAATATGTGTCGATCAAATCACCAACTCAATGAAGATAATAGCTTTTGATAATATATCTTTATTTTACATACACACAGAAAAAGTGTAGTAAAAAGTTTGTAACATATTTAAACTAACGGTAAAATAATCTGCTGACAATGCCATGCACACTTTCACTTTTTTATTCACACTGACTCAGCTGTTCTTTTTGGCGAAGTTTTTTTACTGGTACCGCCAGCTGTTGAAGTTTGCTTTCTTGTCATTTATTTTTGATTTTGGAATCTTGCATATCCCTCCTTGGGAAGTGTTACATCTACTTAGAGAACATATGCACATCAGATCCTATGTTGTATTTTTCATGTACGACTGTATCACTCTACCTGTTTCCCTGCACACACTTGCAAAGTCGTACCTAGAATGTGCCATTTAACTGGAGCACACAAGATCACATATACATAAACCACTGCATGTTTCTATATTTATATGATTATATGACAAAATTCAGATTTTCACTTCGGATTCCCGAAGTACTTTTTGATTTGTTTTGGGAATAAATTGGGTTTTAATTATTCAGTTGAAAAAGTTTATTTAAAATTTATATTATTATTGTTTATCTTAATGTTAATAATTACAACAATATATTTAGCATCTCTCAGTAATTCAAAAATTAAAACACATATGTGTAAAGTTCTGTCTGATTGATAATTTATCTGAATAATTTAATGAATTGCACTGCTGAAAAAAATTCAGAAAATGATTTTCAATAATGGATGAATGGTTAAAGTTGAAAAATACTGGATTCTGTTCCTTTACACACCATGGATTCTATTCTGTATGGGAAGAACACAAGGTTTTTAATATATATACTCATGTATAACATAAATATGGGTCAGTTTGGCTTAAAATCTTCATAAAGATGTCATTTCCCATAAGTAGATGACTTGTTTTGTGATAATTAAGTAATTCAACCCAGAATTTACTTATTTGTAAGTATAAATGGAAATTTTAGTACAGGAATACAGTAATGAGTCGATATTAAAGCTTTGTATTGAGAATAAAAATTTTTAAACTTAATTATTTCATATCAAAATTGATTCAATTTTTAATTGTGTCTTGTGAGTATATATAAATCATTTTCCTTGTTTTTAGGTAATTTCAGCTTTGGTTGCCTTCAGAAATTTCGCAGCAACACTATAGTAGATTTTATAGACAGTGCAGTAGCTCATTCTCGAAGTGGTCGTTATCTGTTTTTCTTACATCGAAGACCTATTTTAGGACCTATGAGAGTTCAGCTTTTACACCCTGTCTCTCGTTTTAAACAAGTTCAATCACTTCAACATATGTGTAGGTAAGTAGTAATAAGGAAATGTAACTTTATTCTTATTTTATTAATTTTAAAAGTAATCATAAGGAATTTTTGTAAACAGTTCCCCAATCACTTCCCCCTCCCTCCTCTGCTATGTTATCCTGTTTATTGTAATTACATTTAGGATGTTATTTGTATTGAGAAATGTCAGTGTAATTTAAATATTGAATCCATATTTAAAAATTTTTAAGTAACTAGTTTTCTTTAATACGTGTTGTAATTTGTAACCTAGTTTTGAGTGTTATTAAAATTGCTTTTTATTATTTGGTATTTGTAGTTCAGGCAAATATAGGTACTCTTATGTTATCAGGACTGGATTCAGAAGTTTCTGTATGTATGCACATATATGTGTGCATAAAGACACAGACACAGATACATATGTATGTACATATATACAGACATATATAAAACACATAGACATGTAATCCTGAATACAAAAATGCATACATTTCTGGACCCCCCATGCTTGAGGATCTATGCCAAATATTGTAAAGCCATAAAAATATGTAATCAAAAGTTACTCCTTTGTTTTTTATTTACCATTTGATAGATATTGATAGTTATTAAAAAACCCTTAAATATGTTAAATTATTATTGTTAATTAGACTTTTGCACTTAGAAAAATAAGATGTTTTCAAAAATGTTTTGAGGGAATAGATTGTATGAAAATATTGTTTTCTAACAAGCCCTATAAATATCTGATTTGTTAAAGGACAAATCAGATATTGGCAATTTTATTAATAAAATATATTTGCAGAAAAATTTTAATTTAAATAAAATTTTAAAATATTGTAATAAATATTTAATTTTTTAAACTAAATTTTATTATGAGCCTTAGAATACATGCTTTATACATATTCAATTCCATTTATATCACCTGTAATACACAGTCCTAGAGTTAAATCTCTTAATCCTAAATCTTTGCAGGTTTATTATTTTAAAGACCCTGAGGAGGGACCTAATAGACTATCTGCCTCTACCACGAAGGCTTAAAGACTACCTCAATACTCCACACTACTATTCAGAGGAACTTGCGACACAGTCTCTTCTCACCAAGAAGTGCACCGAAAATCGATCTCTCAGCAGCAGATCTAGTCAGTCCGGAACCACGCGTGCAGAAAGTGTTTCATCTAATACCCAATCAAATTGTGGATGATGTTTACAGCTTTTAGGGATTGATCACTGTTTAACTTACATTTTGCTTAATGTGTTTATCATACCCAGTGTTCTGACCAGGAAACAGGATAAAATACCAACATCTTTTAAGAAATTTAATTTATTATTAAACATAGCAGTTAGAACTAAATGAATGAATGTGGATTTGTATGAATTTTCATTGCGTGTCAGATTGCTTAATTGTGAATATGTGGATATACATATTTTTGTATGTATGCCACCAATAAATGTTATATGTCGTACATGCACATGCATTAGAAGTGTACTGAAAGGTAATGCATTCCATACTAGAAGAAACATTTTTGGCTTCATGCATTTACATTGTTTGTAATTTGAATACCTGCATCTCACTCTAGATACATAAGGATATGCAAAATGTTTATTTTATATGTTATGACAATTGTTGCCAGTTCCTTAAATTTCTTTTCTAGTATGAAGACAGAAATTGTCACTTGTATATATGTTATATTGTGAATTTGTTTATAATTTCATTAAGTGCAGAAATTCCCTACATTCTACTTAAAAATTACAAATTCATAGATGAAAGCTGATATTCAGAATGATGTTAGTTTGGATGTACAGTTTGCTGTATTATATACATGTTAATGCCATTCTTTACTACTAGCATAAAATGGAAAAGCTAAAAAAATGTTTATTAAATAATAAACTTGTGGATGTTTTATATCCATGAGCTTGATTTTCAAAAAGCTGTCACCATGTTTAAAAATGTAAATGACAAAGATGATAAGTAGAAAGTAGTTAATGTTTTGATAAAAATGCACTTCAGAAGATGCATTACTTTGTAATTAGGAGCCATTACATTGCATTTTCTGAATATTAAGCAAAGTTTCACTTTTCATATGCTGTGGAAATTGTCAGATAATCATTTAAGAAAGCTAGAACTGCCCAATTTTTGTTAATGTTTGAAGAGGAAAGTATTAGTTTTAAAATTTCTCTCATCTGAATTGAGCTTTTTTTTTTTAGTCCGAAGGGATTTGAGTCCCGAAGGACTATTTCTTTTGTTTTGGCATTTTGCTCCTATAAACGTTGGTTCACTTTTCAAACTATTGCCACAAAATGTTAGAGTTCTGCATTATATTTGAAGAAATTAAATAATGAAAAATCTGCATAAATGTATGTATACTTCTCGCATTGTGATAAAACAAGGGTATCTAGAGCCATCCAGTTTTGAATGACGTAATCCTACTGCGAATATGGGCATCCGAAATCCCAAATTTGAAATTTGGAATTTGTTTTATTATCAATTTCATATTTTGTAAAACTTTAATGAATTTTTGAGTAACAAACTCAATGATTTAAAAGTGAGCAATGGCAACACTCTATTGGGGGGGGGAACTTTTTTATCTCCAGAGTGTCGAACTGTGTATCGGAAATTCTAGATGTGCTCATTTTAAAATTATTTTGTGACATTGCTATTGAACTGAATTTTATGGTTTAAGTGCAAAGAACATGATATTTAATAAATAAAGGTAACACAGAAAACGTTAAAAAAAAGCCCTTTTGGACGTAATTTAAAATCTGAAACATTTCTTTCTTTCTTTCTTTTTTTTTTCCTTTCTTTTCATTCTGTATAGTAGATTTTCGTGTCCTGTTTAAATAATAAGATAATGTAAATTTCTAAAATATGGGGTGAAGGCAATTTTTTTTCCTTTTCAAGTATTTGAAATTTGGCAGTTTTCTCTCTGTTTCACTTCAAGTAGCAGTCTAGATGGTTTATTAAAATTATGATGTGAATAATTCATTAATGGACATTTCAATTTAGCAGGTACTTCTTATGAGTGAATAGTTCTTGAATTCTCATAGCCATAAAAAAGGATTTCAATATTAATCAGCCATTGATAATGAACATACCTGATAACAGAAAATGCAGATCTAAAATTTTGCTCTAGAGCTTGGCTATTAGATGAAAGATTAAAGAGAAAGAGTGAATAAAGAAGTATCTCCTTCTATGAGATATTTGTTCTAGAAAGAAAATATGGAATTCTACAGCTGCCAATTCTCCCGGTTTTCCATCAGATCTCTAGATCTTCTGGTAGCACTGACTATCCCGGTTTTTCATCAAATCTCTAGATCTTCTGGTAGATCACTGACTATCCTGGTTTTTTATCACTTCTGAGTTTTTAATCTCATATTTCGCCATTACTGATGTAGTTTCATACCTTTCATTAGTCAAACTACAGAATGAGTCTGAATGGCCAGTGTGACAATGCAAGGCATTGGTGTAATATCTTTGTTGATTTCATTTACTTTAAAGAGCCTTGTGAGTACCATATCCTGTGAAAGCCAGCAAACTTCAGAGTGAAGAAATTGTTTTTGCTCTCTACCCCCGTATCATCACATATAAAAATATTATTCTGCTCAGAGCTGCCTTAATGAAGTTGATAATCTTAATGATGTCTTTTAACATGGTTTTGAATGTAGCTGGTATATTTTTGGTCACAAAAGCTTCCTTGTGAATGAAACAATGGATCCTTGTAGCATCAGGTGCCACAGGTCTTAACTTTAGTTACAGTGCCATTATATTTACTAGTATGTGTACGAGCTTCACCCAAATAAAAATCTACATATCTATATATATATATATATATATATATATTTTTTCCAATCAATTCCATTTTCTTAGATGTACTTGTTCAGGACTTAAGAAAATATGTTCGTGTGTATGAGTTGGCAGCAGAGTTTTAGCAAATAACATATCTCCATGAATGTCATTGTTAAACTCTTACCTGAGATAAAAAATCAATTGTGCATCATTCAATATGTGTGTTGTCTCATCTGTCTGAAATGAATAAAAAAGATTTTCATTTATTTTATTGAAAAGTCCAGATTCTATGTTACTAGCCATATCATTGATTCAGTATGTAACTGGATCATTTGAGAGGCATTAAATCAGTCAAGCTTGTGCACATATATTAAATATTTTTCATTAAGCATTATTTTAACTATATCTTTTGCAGCTGGAAATATTAAAGTCTCACTTATAGAATGAATGTTCTACTATTTGCAGTGTGAAACTTGAATATAGGAAGCTTCTAAGGCCTTTGTAGTTTTGGAACCTATATTGGAAACAACTCTGATTTCTTCAAAATGTTGAAAAATTCGATAGCTTTATGTTTTATCTCTCAGTTAAAATTTTGCAAATTTCATGCATTTGTTTGAAGCACTAATATACAGCACACTGAAATTTTCAAGACAGAAGATCAAAACACCAAACATAAAATACAATTGCCATGTGTAATTTCCTAATTCTGAGATTTTCAGTGATAGTTTGCATATGCAGTTAATTTTATTTTTTGTCTTTTATGGAACTGTAGGAAGCCAACAAGGGCAGGCATGGTTGAGAAACACAGCTGTGGAGTATTTAAAAAGTGGTTCTTGAACATGGGGATTCAATTGGAGAATAAACACTGTATTAGTAAAATGTTATGCACAAAATCAAACTGTTGTTAATAATTTATGCAACATCTGTCTTGATGTAAATTCCCCCCCCCCTTTTTTTTTTCATTTTAATTTACTTTCATTAATTTTCAAATTTGTTCACTTAAATATAATTATTTTTTATGCTTTTTACATTGTTCCATTTACAATAGTTATGAAAAATTTGAATGCAGGAAAAGCAGACGTGTTTTAATAACGAACAAAGCCTTTTAGTCCTATGGGTATAAATTAATGAGAGATCCAACTATGTTAGCATCGACTCCTTTATTCATTTATTGAGCATAACAATTTATTTCTCGGAATTTTTTTTTTTTTTTTTTTTTTCATTGGAAAATAGTTTTAAGCAGATATCTGTATATATGAAATTTCAAATCTTTATTAATCTGTCAAATGTAGAATTCTGTATCTTAAAGTTTGTTAGAATAATTTGTATAATGAGGAGTTCCCTGTTAAGGGGAGATGGGCACCTTGTGCAATTTTTGTAGTAATATGGATTCTTGCAGATTCTAGTCATATTGTATATATTTTTGAATACTTGCTACTAGTTCTGAAGGCATATATGTAAATTTTTTATGTCTTAAAACTGGTAATATTGTGCTTTTAGAAGTCATATTTCTATTGTATAATTGTCTTTTGAACGTATTTCCTAGAAACAGTCTTTCTTTTTTTCTGGAGAATCTCTCTTTAATTTGCAGTTTTTATTTATTAAAATTTTTTATAAATAAGAAAGATATATTTTTGAATTATTTTCACAAGAAGTTGTAAATCAAGAAAGCATTTTAAATAAAATAGTGTGAAATGTGTAGCACATTAAAATTTTAAACCTGATTTGTAAATTAGCAAAGAGTATGGGGCTAGTGATGATTCTAAATTTGGTCAAAATATGATGCCTTTGATTCTTTAAGTATTTCTTTAACATTTGTATAGCTAAACATTCTTATTGTTACTTTATAGTTCATAAGCAAGTCTTAAATCTGTTTGATAAAATAACTAGAGCAGTAAGTTCACTTTGATAAGGCTGGAAATAATATTTGGATTCTAGGCTGAATGATCCACATCTTTACTTATTTTTTGCAATATTTTGTCCTAGTTTCTTGCCATATCTTCTCATATTCTTTGCGTACAATGAAATCACTTGAAAGCTGTGATATATTTAAAGGAAAAGTGTATATTAAAGGTAACATTGGGAAAAGATTGCAGTCATATAGCTTTCTTAAATTATAGTGACAATTTTCTGAAGGACCTGTAAAGAATATTTCTTTAAATTAATAATTGCACTGTATTTAAAACATACTTGAAAAGGGGGGAAAACTTAGTTTGAAATCTTCGTAACTATTATAGTTAAAAACATTTCTCAAATATTTAAAAAAATATTGTGCTTATATGATGTATGTTATTTTCTAATCAAAGTTTGTGTACAGTCAAGTTTAAATGAACTAAAGGGAAATAAATGTCATAATGTTGTATTGGATTAATTAATGTACTGAATTAAAATTTCATTATTTTTGCATAAAACTGTATTAATTAGTAAATGTCTATATGAATTGAAAAACAAATCATTACAACAGAGATTTTATTTGTCCGTAGCTCATATTTAAAATGGTATCTAAGCATTTTTAACTATTTATTTGTAATTTTGTTATATTTCTTCTTAAGACCGTTCTTCTGAATTGAAACAAATTGTTATTGCATGTTTAAGAACAGACTGCATTGTGATATGAACCAGAATATTAATTTGTAACCACATTTGATAATTCGTGTTTTCTCTCCGTTACGGGCTAATTCTGTGTGGTGCGTGTTAACTGTTTTGTTTTATTGGGATTGAAAGAATATCATGGTAAGACTGCATTTGAAAAATTAATGAAAGCTTGTAACTATTGTATTGTAATTTTTGAAAGTTGGGTTTAATTTTTATTTTAACATTGGCTTTATTCATAGACTTATTGAAGAAATTAATCTGGAAAAAGAAATTCCTCCTTAATTAAAAGGAAAATTTAAAAACATCCATTTTTATGCAAATATACATTTGTTAAAGTTTTTTAAATGGTAGGTAATAAAGTCTTTCCTCTGTAATTTCAATTATTTTTATTAAAATCTTAATATTACGGTCTGTTTTAGAATTGAAAATTTGTTTACTTTTTTGCAAGGAAAAATGATTTACTATTGTTAATTGATTTGGCCATAAATGAAAGAAAAAGCATTTTTTATTTTTAACTGTATATAAAATTTGACTTTAATTATAATAATGCCAATGCCATTCATTTTCCGATTGCTAATTTGAATTATGTATTCTTAACCTGTAAAAAATATGGAATTTCTTTACCCTTTAAAATTTGGATATTTTCTTAGCAGTCAAATTGATTGTGATAATCAAATCGTGAATATTCTGAAATAATCATTTTTAGTAGATATATTAGAAGATAAATTTATTTATGAGATTTAAGTTAATTTTTTTTTTTCCTCAAATTGTTTTCAGTAACTTCATATCAGCCTTTGTAATGTTTTTAAAGAAATACATGAATTCTATTTTTTTTTTTTTTTTTTTTTTTTTTTTTTTTTTTTGTGATGAT